AAACACATATTTCAAAATTTTATTAATAATCGTAATTTATTATATATATATTTATAGCTATATATGATATATTTGCAAAAATTAAATTTATATTTTTGATTCTGTTTTTTATAAATAGTAATTGTATTTGGGGTTTAGGATTTGTCCGGGTTTTGTCTACAAGCATAATTACGAACGTACAATTAATAATTTGCAGTTACTGTCAGTAACATTGACAGTATTTTATGGACAATAGAATAGTTAAAAAGTATATCATCGTTAGACCAGAATAATAACATTACATATATATGAAGTCAATTAAATCAGTAGTCAAATTTAAAATTTTGGGATATTTTACAAACGCGCCTTAATGATTAGTTGTAACTATTCGACTAAAGAATTAATCGGTTGCAAAGAGTCGATTGAAAAATTATTCATTTACTTAATGAATTAGTTGCAACTAATCGATTAATCGATCACTTGGATTAATCGATCACTTGGATTAATCGATTAGTTGCAACTCATCGATTAATTAATTAGTTGCAACCAACTGAAAAACTTTTGCCGATTTGTTACACTAATCCAGTGCCCGACAAAAATTTCCCGCCCCCAATAATGTTCTCAAATTCGTGCGTCGCATTTTAAATTTCTTTAAGGAATATCATGAATGCGATCATCTATGTATAAGTTTTACAGAATAGTAAGCCTTCTATACCATATGATTACAAATTTTCATATGCTCACAGAATGCAAAAATCATTAAGCAGGTATATATCTCAACAACTAAATGATCAAATTCCATCTTTGAAAATTCTTTTGAATTCTACATGGCAGTAAAATTCAAAAGTCCTCAAACATCGAACTTGTCATTTTATTATTGTGATATTCAAAGTATAAAAAAATTTTATAATTACCAAATTTTGAGAGGTAATAGTAGTACTATGCAAAATCAAATCAAATTTTGAAATTTGATCAAATATTCAATTTTTTTAATTTCCTTTGAATTTCTTTAGAATTATTTAAAAAATGTATATTGTATAATGATATAACTAGTAATTTATTTGCTAATAAATATACTATATCATCAATAGGGCTCTGCAAATGCCCATGCTAGGCATATAGATATTATGGCCAGGCACCAGATGCCTTATACCAGTGTTGAAAATCTTATGTTCTCATGTTCTCATGAGAACATTGCTTTAAATTTGAGAACATTTACAAAATTTAAGCTGTTCTCTATAAAATTTTTTTTAAGAACAATAAGTTTGAAAATATGTTCCCTATGTAATATATTTTTGTACAAAAAATAACCTAAGATAAATATCAATCAATATAAAATTCTGTATGTGATTGCTAAGCATCTTTAAATGTGATATATATGTTACAAATCACGTACGTACATATGTATATACGTGCGTGCGTACGTACATACGTACGTACGTACGTAATCTTAATAATGAATAACATAATAGGATAATTGGCGCTCTAACTAGTAAATATGCATAACTAGTTAATCAATTCCCAATATACTATATAATAATATAAATATAAAAAAAATCTATTTCGAAGACTTTAAGATTTTGACTTAAAAGACGAAAAAAGCTGATTATTTTTAAATCTTGTATAAAAAACTGATTAAAAATTTTTATACAATCTAATAGAAGTTTCTTATATTAACAATGAGTGGCGAAAAATTATCAAAGGAAAGAGAGGCTTGGATTAAGAAGATGATCAAAAAAAATAAAATAAAAAGTTGATTAAATGGTCAAAATTCAAAAGTGTGATACAATATAAGATCGGAGGTTATGGCGTAATTTATAAAGCTGAATGAAGTAAAAGGAAGGTTGCCCTGAAGCGTATGGTATTTGAAGAAAACAAAACGGAATCCGAACATAAAGTTCTTGTTAAATAGGTAAGATCAACTTTTAATTCTTTTATAGCAACTTTTATAATGTATAACCATTATTTCTGCTTGTATAATTATCATAATTCTATTTCGCATAAATAGATTAAAGTCTTCTGTTCAATTAAATCGGGACCTTCAATGGAAAGTCAAATAGGCTATAAAAATATCATTCAATGTTTCGGTATATCAATGTATGATTATTAATTAAATTAGTTTTACCTCGCTATTAGACTTAATTTAACTTTTATTTTTCATTTTTTAGTGGAACAGAACCGAATCCAGGTAACTATTATAATGAATTCCAATACAACACACTTATATTATTCATAGAACTACCTTATTTTCATTATAGAGTTTTATCTTGTATTAGAGTTTGCAGAACTTGGTGACTTGCGAGGATATTTGAACACGATCAATTTAAATTGGAAAGCAAAAGTAAATATTGCAAGACAGACAGCGAGTGGTTTACGTTTCTTGCATGAGAATAATATTTTACATCGTGATTTAGTAAGCTATAAACTATCTCTAATTTCATAATTAATAAATTAAATAGATAATTTATTGAATTGCCTTTGTAGCATACACGAAATGTTGTCATCAAGCCCGATACCAATGGCATTAGAATTCTTATTACTGACTTTGGAGCTTCTAAATCCCTTAATTATAATAGTACTTCAAGTAAAGAGATTGTGGGACAGTTAGCATTTATTGACCCTTTTGTATTAGCAAACCCTCAGAAAGCAAATAAACAGTCTGATATCTATAGCCTTTGTGTAGTGATGTGGGAAATCTCAAGCAATGGAACAAAACCATTTAAAAAATTTGCAGATATTCATCCTACTGTTCTCGCATTACTAATAGTAAGTGGCCTTCGAGAAAATCCAGTACCTGAATCTACTCTTCCTTATGTTGATCTTTATAAGAAATGTTGGATTTTGATCCTGGAAATCGTCCCGAAATTAAAGAAGTTTATGAATCAATATTTTGCGATGAAATGATTACAGGAGAACAAATAATTCTTGGTTGATATTCTCTTTTTTTAATATGTTTTGTTTATTAATTTAATTATATTAAAAATACAATTATTCCACGACACAGAAAATAGTGAAGTATGTTTATTTTTACTTTGTAAATTACATATCTAGTACCTTTATTACTCTTTTTGCTATCATGACATGCATACTTCAAAATAAAGGAAACAACTCAACAGATGAATCGACATTTGATAGACAACCATGAACGCTTTGACGGTTAGTGTTTTAAAGAATATTACTTTTATTTATTTCATTTGATTAAATGATATTTTAACTTTATGAGATAGAATCCAGTGAGGTTATCATAATTTCATTTTATGCAACATCAAATAAATGCACCTTTATTTATTAACGAAATTTAAAATTTAAAGGAAGATCAAGGTTGTATATTAATAAATATGATTTGATGTGTACTTTACTAAAAAAATTTAAATAACATGTTCAAATCTAATTAGTTGATGAATCAGTATCCAGTGAGGTATGCTACTACTTTTATTTTACATAGTATAATATTTATTAATAACTAATGGGATCTGAACTTATTAAAGGATGATATCCAACCAGACCAAGGTGATATAAGCATTAAATAAGCACGTACAATTTTATTTTGGATTGTCAAAATTAACTATGATTTATTTGTACAGAATTCTGTGAGGTACGTACGCATATGGTTTTATTTCGAAAATGCGAAACATTAAGTTTAAAGCGTGTAAACTAATCCGGATAAATAATGTTTATGCCAAAATACATAAAAGGAATCGAATTATAACGATTCAAAATTTGAAAAACAGTTTAGTGAAATTGCTATGAATAGACCTGGTTAGTAAGGTTTTCATTAAGTTTTCGCAACATTGGGATCTAATTAGGTTACTTTAATGAATTTTCCATAGAATTTATCGCTGGCTTAGTTAATCGATTCCCTGGGGTTATCCAAGCTATGAAAGAGCCAGAAAAAACATAGAATTTTGTAGTCTAAAATTGGAAAACTTTGCCAAAAATGATTTGAATTATTTTCACAATTATTTTTGTTGATAAGGCCAGACCAAGTAGATTCTCTGTTTTACATTACCCCCCTCTCCCCTCCGGGGGGAGGGGTGGTTTACATTGTAAAATTTAAAAAAAAATTTTTTTCAAAAAAAAATTTTCCGAATTGTTCCGTGACTACATAAAAATTTTCCGAAATAGCCCGAAGCCCTATATATATTTATCTAAATTTTTTTACTATGAGGGAGAGGGGGGCGCTGGGGGTAATGTAAAACAGAGAATCAAATTGGTCTGGCCTAAACCGGACATATATCATAATGCAACACGGAAATAAAACAGTTGCGAAAAAAAGGTCAAAACTTTATTTTTTTTTTCGGTTATTTGGTTGCCCACAGAAATGATCCAAAAAATATTGTTGAAATCGTTCTAAACGCTGTATAAATAACGAAAAATTTCGCCATCCAATCAGAGGAGGTCTTATGTATATGATGTTATGCTAACATAGAAATTTATTTTAATTTATTGATTTCTTTTGTATTACGTCTTCCCCAGTATCGGCACCAAAATTTTACGGACACGTGAACGCACCAAAAAATCTTTAAATTCGTTTAAGATAAGGTTAGGGTCAATGTTAAGGTTAAATTTGAATGTTTCTGATGGTAAAATCGGTCAAGGAAAATGGTTTGTTAATGCACGAAAGGTGGTTTCCTATGCAGATATTTGAGTTATGGGGCGATTTTTAAAAAACGAACGTTTGTTTTGAATTTTTCTGATCGTGTTATACCTGATACTGAACTCTGATTAGTTTGCGCCACAAAACATCACGTGCCATAAATTTTGGTGGCAATACTGGGGTAGTTTTATATTGACTCTGCCACATAAGGGTGATCGGACTCATTTAGCGTGATATAATGCTAATTTATGTAGATCAAAACATGATTATCGACCAATCAAATCAGCCAAAAAATTTAATACACGAATATTATTATTAACAAAATTTTATTTTACTGCAATACAAGACAATAAATATTTTGGCTTATATTAAATAATTAAAATTGTTACTTTATACTAGTGATGCCGACATAACGTTTTAACATTACTATATTTTGGGTTTTGTCACATGATAAAACTGATATTAATGTAAATTGTAGGTTAAAACTGTTAAAATAAAAACGTTAAAACTATTATATACTATAGTTAAAAACATTGATCAAAATTACTACTATTACATATCAAATTACGCACATAAGCGTATATAATATATATTAAATCAAATTCCGATATATATTAAATTAAGTTACGAAATATATTAAATTACACTTCGTTATTATCAAATTACGTAAGACTAGTATAAGAAGCTAACGCCAAAACAAATAATTTAATAACTCTTACTTACTTTGATATGTCAAATAATATTGATTATAATTTAATTGCTGTTGGTGACTGTTCAGTTTCAATTAATAAAACATCCAATTCTGTGGCCGACCTCGAGGAGAAATATAAAACGCTTATTCTGTCGAACAAAAAAATGGGAATTACTATTTTATTCGATGTGACTATTGTTCTAAGCGTTGGAAAAGAGGAATACCAAACGTAATGGAATTACATTTAGCTAATGAATGTTCCAGTTGTCCACAAGATGTACAAAAATATTGGCAGAATAAAATTGAAAATTGACATAATAATTATCGAAGAACTCCAAATACAAAACGTCGCAAATCAATAGATTCTGTTAATACAATTAATTCAGAATCACTTTTTATAAATCATCAAAATTTACTTGATCGTACTGTATTAAAAGCTTGGTTTGGATGTGGTATACCTTTTGAGATCATTGACAATCTTTTTATGTGAGACTTATTTATGCAACTTAATCCTGCATATCACCCACCTGGAAATACAACATTATCTGGTCAAATTCTTGAAGAAGAAATAATAAAAGTTAATAAGGAAATTTCTATGATTTTAGAAAAAAATAACAATCTTACTTTAAGTAAATAAAATAAATTATTTTAAAAATTAATACATTTATTAATTTTTTTTTAGCCTTAGATGGATAGTCATCTCC